CGGAAACGAACCGCGGCCATCCTGCCCTAAACCCTAAACCCTAAACCCTAAACCCTACTGGGGTCCAGGGCCTTCATAGAATTAAACCCAAAGATATAACTGGGTAGCTGTCAAAATTATGGTCCCTTGTGGGGTACCCTAAATAATAGGTGCCGTATTATAATAAGGACCCCAAAAGGGACCATAATTTTGACAACCACCCAACTAAATCTACAATGACAGGCTCCTTTCTGCGAGTGCTTATAGGATTTGGTCTGTCGCTTGGTTATTGTTGGGTCTTGCTTGTCTAGTTTCGCTCAGTTAATCATGTTATGGAGGGAACCAGATGCAACTTTTTGAGAATAAAAGTTTCGGAAGTTTACAAGTGCAAGAGAAAAAGTTACTATAATAAAACACAAAGATGAATCCGTGCATAAAAAGAGAGAACATACTACATGAACTTATGTAATATTCTATTAATTTTAACGGGAGTGGTTGAGGTTGTGGGTTAAGGCTTGGCGTTGGCTGGTTGGTTGAATTTCTGGGGTGGGTCACAACTCAAGTGTGTGTATTTGGGTTGGCTAGTTGAATTATTCGGGAAAATTTGGGTTGGGGTGGAATTCGGAGTGAAACAGGCAGGCTTTGAGGAAAGGTTAGGGGAGGGTTGGGCGGTACATATTTTGGGGCGAAATAAGCTGCTGCTAGCTACCTCTGCTCCACAGAAGCAGAGAATTTTCTTATCAAGTCGAGCAAGCAATCTCCTGGCTCCTGCCCGATGCCCGGAGCCCATACCCAAGCCCTCCTTCCTGCAGCAGAGGTACGTGACGTGCCCTGGGCGCGGGGGAACTAGCTCCTTGCAGCGCCAGGAGATGAATCCCAACAATCGATTTAAGGTTCAGCCTGTAACCCCAACCCCAAACCCCGAACCCTATAAGGGTGACCCTATGATAGAACACCTATAGCTAATAGCCTTTAAAGGGGACCCTATTACCCTATGATAGAACCCAATAGCAATAGCAATAGCCTTTAAAGGGGACCCTATTACAGAACCCAAAGAGGAGCCCTTGGGAGTAAGCCAACTCCCTAAACCCTAAACCCTAAACCCTAAATCCTAAACAAACTCCACACTGGAATGCGGCCTTGTGCATTCATGATCCGGGGCTCAGCACTTCGAGCTCAGGTGTCAGGTCCAAAAGGCATTGAGGTTTAAGGGGGTTTAGATTTGAAGGTTTAGGATTTAGGGTTTAGGGTTTAGGTTTCCAGGGCTGGGAGTCCGCCGTCCCTGGCGGCGTGTTGGATGGGTCTCGATTCGATG